GAGAACGGGAGATGAAAAATCGTCTCCCCCCTCCCCCTCCCCTCCATTAGGCTACCCCGGATCCGCCTATACCCCCCGTGCATCTAGACAGATTTTTTTTTGAATGTGCTAGTTTTATGAAACGCCCGCCTGATTTGTTGAAATGGTTTTATGAATATGCCGCTTTTTATGAATTGAAATTTTATGAAATATGCCCTCCCAGTCGGGGTTGGATAGCTCATCGGTCTAAGAATGGCAGTATTTGGAATAAAGCGATGGTTTTTAGCACACATGGGAAGTACAACGAAAATAAATAAGCGAAATCCTTTTGAGAAGGGCGAAACGAATGTACGGATCACATTGAGGCTGTCGTGAAAAACTCGCAAAAAACCGGCAATCCTTAAGGATTGCGACTGTCACTGACAGCTTTTTTTTAAACAAATTATGGCTTAATTCCCTAAAAAAAAAGCAAACAAACAAGAAAGTGCAAATTGCCTAAAAGAGAAGAAAGCACGAAAAAAAGATGTGCTCTGCTTTAAAGAAAAGCAGATACACAGTAGATGTGCTGTCAAATCAGCCGTGGAACATAAGAGTTTTGTTTTCTTTTCATCATCTCATTTGTCCTCCTCAACTCCTATTGTCACGCTTCTGTTAACTATTCTTTTCATACATGACAAATATTGAGGCTGCACTGATGGTTCCCACTCCAAATCGCTTCGTAATCAATGTTTGCAGCTAAGGGATGAAACACGGGTTGCTAACTTATGTGTGCCTTATAATATGCCATTTCCAACAACCTTTCTAGGCATAAATTTTGGCAGTACAGCCGTCTAACACGTTGTTTCTGGATATGAAGACGAGTGGTTCGATTCGCTTCTGGTGGTCTACGTCTGTTTGTAAAAGAGAAACCTCTCCCTTCTACGGCACAGACTGACTTTTAGATGTGGCGCAGCATTAGTGAAAGCATTAGAAAAGTTGTCAATTAAATAGTCAGTTGAAGGAGCGGACTATAAATTAACAGTCATTTTAAGTAATTATGTAAAATCCTGCACTTAAACAATTTCTGTTGGAAACTTTACACTCTTATCGTACTAGTCATTTCTTTAAGCGTTTTTTTTTGTCGTATTCCCATTTATTGAAACCTTACCTAATCTTCATCTTTCGAAACTCGTGAAAGAATAATTATTATTTATCGATTTTATTTTAGTGAAATTTTTGTTTTTTGTGACTTTGTGAAATTTTAACTTAAACATGAAATTTTCACTTCATTAAATTTTAAACGTGAAATTTTGATTTCACTAAATTTTGAACATGAAATCTTGATTTGAAGTTTTGAACATGAAGTTTTTATCCCGTGAAA